CAAGCTCTCGCGCTCTTCAGAGAAATGAGGTTGAAGATCTGGTGCACGGTTCATTGAAACATGATTTAATGGAATTAGGTATCGATCTGTGCCCATAGCGGTTGGAAGCGGGTTATGTATATTATGTCATCTGTGCCTGGTGCCGCTAGTCCGGGTTAAACCCCTGGCGGTGTTCTATTGAAACCCGCCAGGCAAGAAGTAACCCGAGAGATAACGCCCTCGCCGAGAACAATTTCGCGAAGATGACAGGGATAGGTATTGTAATCGCTTCGGACCCCCGTCCGACTTCGGAAATTATACGTCCCAGTTTGTTCCCGAGACGTAATCGACAGTTTCGTTGTTCGATCGGTCGAGACGAGCGTGTCGAAACGCACCAGACGGATCGATGTCTCGCGGCCCTATTCAAAAACGAAGCGGTCCCATCCGGCGGCCTGGTAGACGCGTAATCATGCAATAACGGCGCGTAATTGGTGCTGTTGGCGAAATTTCGAGAACGAGGCGGGACGGAATACGCTCGCGAGTTTGGAGGAAGCGACGGTGTCCCACTTTTGCGCGATGCGACGGCTCTTGTTGAATGAAGATTACACCGCTTCTGTCCAGTCGTGGCATCGGACGAGTTAAGTATATTCGAGACGTGTAACTACTTGGTATTACACTCGAGATTCTCATTGTTCAGCCTGTTAGGGGAACAAACGCGTTCCGCCATTGTCGAGCGGATTTTACTCGGATTGTCGCGGCCGTCTTCGACTTTGGCCAGAGGCAGTTTAAATGAAATGTGGACCGAATGGAGCTGAACCGTGTCGCGAATTTGATCGATGGTTTGGTAGACTTTCTCGACTTTCTACAGGGGTTAACTCGCGATTCTTTGGATTCCAGGCAGCTCTTAAGGTGGCAGGATAGAATCAGCAGAATCATATCGGATTTAGTGAAATATTTTGTACTTATTTTGTACTAATTTTACCACAAACTGTAATTTTGTACCTCCTGCCACTTAAAAAAAAATCGTGGCGCTGCTAGCTTAATATTAAGCTCTTGGCCGAAAATGTTTAAATTAATAGAAATTAATAAATTAAAGCGCATACATTCAGTGCTGAATTTTAGTAGTAGTTGAGAAATTCAGTAAATAAAGGGTTAATTTTGCACTGAATCGATCTCGCCCCAACGAGAAGGGGCAGAGGAAGATCGAAAGTGACGCGGTTTGGAGACCATCGTCTTTTCTCAGCCTCGTTTCGTAACAGAGAATTTATTAGAAACCAGAATTGATGGCTTCCTTTTCAACGGCGCTTACTATTGAAGACGTGACCGGCCGAAGGAACGAAACATCGTGTTCCTGCGTGTCGTTCGTCGATGCAATGTTGTCGATCTACTGGAGACATTGTACAAGATGCGTTCTCGCAAGCACGAGAGAACGAACGAGAATGTTACATGTAAAATTTGTCGACGTTAAAGAAATTAGAAATTCTTATCGGTGCACAGCGACAAAGAGGAGGCAACAGCGAAAAGCAAAAGTATCTATGGGACTAAATACAAATGTCCCTGAACGGATACTGAACTGATACTGATCCTGTCAAAAACCACAGAGGAATATTTAAAATTACTGACACTGAAAATCACGGAACTGGCACGTTACATGTAAACAGACCTTTAAGTATCTCGAAACAACCCCTCGCATTCAGCAGCGTTTTTCACCAAACGGGGCTTCAAGGATTACGTGTGTTCCTCGTTGCGAACTTGCTCCCTCCCACTCCTCCCAGCTGCAGTCCCCGTCGCCATTAAAAAGTTCCCAATCCGTTTTGCGCTAGAGTTCCCGCGGGACTGGCGGATTGCAGCAACGTTTTTCGCAATCCCTGCTCGGTGCTTTCCCTCCTGGAATCGAGGGACTCCAGAACAACTGGAGTATCATAAAGTTTTCCGCCCGACAACTCCAACGAGACGGACAGGTGTTCCTTTTTCCAACAGCGATACCACGTTCTCGCGATACATTTTTCAGGGCGCTTCCAACGCGCCACTTAACCCTCGAAGGTGTGGCCCGACGTACTTCGGGACCTGGATAAGTTTCCGAGAGCTCCCTCGTTTGTTCGCAGCTTTTTTAAAACGCTTCGCATCTTAGACCGAGGTCCCGATGTCTGCAAGGGGGGAGTCTGGTCTAGACAAGGTTTTTTCCCAATGCATATCATTTCGAGGTATAATTTATTTTTGTGCTTGAAACTTTGTTTACATGTAAAGTTGAAAGAAGACAATTTGGTATTAAAGATTTAATTTGAATATGTACAGTTTCAATTTCTGAAGTTTCGAACACAGGCTTTTTCCAATATTGTACGTGTGTTGTATATATACGAGTGCCGTTTAAAATTTGCCGCTTAAATGTCATTTGAAATTTAATTTTATGTAACTTTATTAATCAGTTACTGATATATAGAGGTCATAGTTGACGAATTTTCGAGCGTCGAAATGGTTTGAAATTTGTATCACGTTTAACGTACCGAGACACTGAGTATCTTTAAAAGAATTCATGTTTTGAATGTTTAATATACATGTCGGCCATATTGGATCCGTCATTATGAATTTTAAAATTCTAGTATCAGATTCGTAATTTGCGGCCCACATAATTTAAAAATACCAAGTTTCTTGAAGATCCGAAAACTCTTTGTAATTTTGACCGCGATTTTAGCCATCCGGACGCATAAGTAGTCTAGCAGATACGGACGATGCTCGATCAGACGCGTAGATACAGACGATCTTTTCCTTTTTCTCTTTCATGAAAATCCGAAAACTCTTTCTAATTTTGGTCGGCGATTTTATCCATCCGGACCACTGTGAGCCAGTGATGGGCAAAACCCTAGGCTTCGAATAAATCTGAAGTTTGCCGATATGTCTATCTCCTTTCCTCTTTAGAACATTTTCCAAACATGGAAAAGAGACAAACATATCGGCAAACTTCAGATTTATTTGAAGTCTAGGGTTTTGCCTATCTCTGCTGCGAGCCGATGCATAAATAGGCTAGTAGACACGATGTTTTCTTTTTCCTCTTTCATGAAAATCCGAAAACTCTTTCTAATTTCGGCCGGGCGATTTTATCCATCCGGACCACTGTGCGTCTCCGTCCATTGTTAATCAAACCTCGTCGCTCCTCAAACCTGATATCTACGAGGTCTGCGGATTTGTTTGCATCCTCGCCAGTCCCGAGAAGTGATTGCGTGTGTGCACTTAAATCGGGCATACCGTAAAGCAGACGCTTCTTGCATCTTGATAGACGAGCGCATCGATTGCACGAAAGCGGAGAAGCCGGTGAGCATCGACCAACCAACCTAAATCTGCCTGACTGCGTCGGGGCACGCGAACCCTTCAGCTTTCGCTTCAACGACTCCCTTCCTATTCTGGCACTTCGCATTATCTAAACAACGCTCGGATATCAGTCCCGTCCAAATGAATTCGCTATCTTTCGCAGCTAACCACGTGCTCTCGAGTAGACACACCGTGTACGACGTGCTTCTTCGCCAAATGCAATCTTCATTGTCGAGTTAGGCACTTGGAAAGAGACCCTGGGGGTCAATCGGGTCACAGAAGGGGTGGAATCCGGATCGGTCAGGCAATCGAGGTCTCGCGAGAATACGGATTAGAATTCTTCTTCTTTTTTTTTTTTTAACCCTTTGCACTCGAGAGATGACTCGCGGTCACCACTAGGTTTTACGCAGTAAATCAACCAACAATAATGTTTGTTTAGGTTTCATTTCTTTTGGAACTCAAAGTGTCAAAGAAATGATTGTCAGTGCAGTAAAGGTCAGTAAAAGGGGTAGTAAAATCTCAAATTAGTTTGGGATCACGAATCCTCTGAAATCTCTGAATCCTCCGAAACTCTGTCTTTAGAACAGCGATCAGTTTCCTTTGGAATCTCTGCTCTGCTCAAAATATCTCCGAAAATTCCTACTTAATCGATGAAAATGAAATATCGAGCGGTAAATACAGAGTATCGTTCGTGCACTCTCATATTTATTGAGTAAACATGACGAAAACACGAACGCAACGTGGCGCGGGTGTGTGCTCATCCAAATTTATAATAAATCGTGTTTGTACTTCGCCGCAGTACTAAAGGGAAACTGTTCCTCGTGGAAATTCGACGATTTAATTTACTGGCGCCAGTTATCCTCGCGTCTAGGAACCTCGTTTTAAACGCTGTTAGAACCAAGTCCCCGATGTGATTAAATTAAAATGCTCGAGAGATACTAAGGAGGCAAAAAGAAAAGGAACGCCAAGTAAAATGGTCATTCCGCGAAGGAAAATCAGATTACTTGGACGGAGGAATAGGAGGTTCGGGCCACACGTGCACCACGAGCGATGAAAGGTCACCGACGAAGGGAGAAATTATGTTCGGGGCTAATGAGGCGATGTATCTCGCTGAATTCAGATTATATAACCCATTGATTCTGAAAACTTTTTTGCATGCCTGCAAAAGAAATATGAAAGTTGAATTTTTAATTATTAAACGCGTTACTTTTATTATTATTATTATTATTATTATTATTATTATTATTATTACGAAATTAACAATTACAAATGATAAACGAGAGTTCGTTTAACGGATCCGAAGGCACGCGTATTCAGAATATTCAGATTCTTGGAGCATCAGCGGGCGACGAAATTAAAATTAATTGTCAATGCAGTTCGTCAACGTTCAACGCGTAATCGCGTGCCTCGCTTTGCTCCATAATATTAATAATCCCAGTCGACGTCGCTCGTTCCGAACGTTGGCTAAAGTATCACGTTGAAAAGACTAAAAATAATGAAACGCGCGTCGCTGAATATTTCTGGTAAATTATTCACGCTCACGCGTGAGAGGAAAATAATCAAACGAAGAAACGAGTTCGAACGGATCGAGTATATTTATTTTACGGGAGTAGGAAAATTTTCTGTATGTAATTTCGTACTTGTACAAACATTGCAAATTATTCGACGAAGTTAACTAACCATACGTTTTTTTTTTTTTTTTTTTTAATTTTCAGGTACATCGATACGACAGCAAACAAAAAGCTGGAGGGCCGAGCACAAAGCTGCGAGGACGCTCGGAATAATAATGGGCGCGTTTCTCCTCTGTTGGCTGCCATTTTTCCTTTGGTGAGTAGAAACATATATTAACGTTAGATAGTATCGCGGTACACCGAAGAGATTAAATCCCTACGAGCTCCGAACAGATGCTCCGGGCCGTCAACTTCCCGCGCAGACGTTCGAAAACAATTCCGTCCAAAGGCGGGAAAACACGCAGCGAAATTGTTTCCCGTCTTCGGTATGTAAATATTCCTTCCATTGAGCACTTTTCGCCAGGAGTCGCACAATCGCGTCGAGTTTCGCTGGGAAACCGAACGGAAACTCCGCCGGTTCAGCGTTTCCACCGGTGCATCAACGAACACCGTTGCAAAGCTTTACGAAGCTTTCGTTTCATCGACGCCAAGTTCTCCGGAGTCGGTGAATTACGCGCGGAAGCCGAGCCAGCCGCATGTTTTATTAATGCAAAGCCGAGTGAATCCCGCGGAGAGTTTATCTGGGCTCTCCTATGCATCCAGTCTATCTATTTGCTTGGCTAAGCGATGCAGGGCTGCGGCTACCAAGGAAATGGCACTTCCTGCTCGTCGCTGGAATGATACGAACTGACGTTTACAAGCTTCGAGGGCCGACGAGAACCTCAAGGTTCAGACGTCGAAGAAGGACGCGTACTATAGAAAGTAGAATAGGAATGGTTTACCAAAGTCTGTGCTTGGTTAAAAGCATTTTGTATTATATGGACCATTTATTTTGAAAGTGGTGTAAATCTATTTTTTTTTTTTAATGAGGTATCAGGTAATTTGTGCTTAATGTAGAGTAAACTTTTTATTTATAACTAGTTAATATTTAATACCTTAAAAAATGTCGATGCTTTGTTCGATTTAAAATTGGCCAGTAAAAGAAATTGTGCGTAGCCATGGATTACGAAAGTGGAGTAAGTCCAATTGTTATAGACAGGTGGCGGGGTCAGTTAATTCATATTATTCAGTTGTTCAATGCTTTTGTTGCATACACTGATATGTGTACGGGGCAAAATAGAGATTTTCCAGGACAAAAAGAATATGGACTCACACCACTTCCAAAGTAAACGGTCCATATTATAATAGCGCGAGTAACGGGAATTTTGATATCGGATACCGAGTTGATCGAGTAACTGTGTCCAATTTGTTTTCTCCCAAGGCTTTCGTGCCTTGCGATCCCCTTCTAGTTTTATAATTAAACAAATCTGTCTTCTACGAAAGTTCGGTCTGCCAGATCCAGTGTCTAATATCGAAGCCTTTCACATCCTTCATCTTGGAACTCGAATCGAATGAAAAGCGATTTCAACCGAGCGATGTTTTTATTACAATTTCCTACCAGTTTAAACGTTATTTCGTATTACGCGTGTGCACGTTTCTCCATTTGTCGGCTGACATCAATGAAAAGTAATTTTGGGACTCGGTATTACTTTCCATTTGAATCCCTTGCTCGTGCAATTTCGTTTGGATTAAAATGTTTTCTGCTCGAAATATCGCAATTCATTTCAGTTCCTTTCCTTCTACGAAGGTCCGGGACCTCAGCCGCAAATTAAACGCCCGGGTGAGCCCGATTTAGAGGAACTTAATTTTAGCGTTTTTGAAAGGAATTGATAATTGGTCGACGCGGTCAGCTTCATTGCGAAACTGCAGGCGTGTGCGAAATCGCGGATGCAGTAAGTCGTGGCCGCGCGGCTCGATTGGGTTTCGCGAGCGTGGATTTCGTTTCGCGGGACGTTTCCAAACGCGTCGCCTCCGAAATAAACAACTCCTGCGTAGCGGCTAAGAATATGATCATTAGTCAGCGTAAATATTTCCGCAAACGCTCGCGGACAGTGCTATCGTTTAGAAATATTTTGTTCGCTGCAGGAAAACCTTAGGAACGTTTTGTAGCGTATGTGGTGTCCAAAAAGGTAACGCAGAGTCGAGCCTATCGCAATTCACCGCGTACGTCTGTTCCTCAGGTATCTGACAACGTCCCTCTGCGGCGAAGCCTGCTACTGTCCAGACACGGTGGTGTCCGTCCTCTTCTGGATAGGCTACTTCAACAGCGCCCTGAACCCTCTGATCTACGCGTACTTCAACCGCGATTTCCGCGAGGCGTTCAAGGACACCCTGAAGAGCGCCCTCCCCTGCTGCGCGAGCTGCTGGAAGACGCCGTCGCAGTTCGTCTAGCGAGAGAAGCCCCCGTGAACAGTCGCACCGAACACGCCATAGCTTGAGCGAATTTGTTATCGACTCGTCGACCGAACATTTATCCGCCTTCTTGGACCGGGAGAACGCATCGAGTCTGCATGTTCTCTCTTGAATCGTGCGTCGTCGTCGAGTTCGATCGCTCAAGGCCGCTCCTCCATACAGCAATCGCGATCTAAACGCTTTAGATCGCGACTTTTCCCACCGGTAGTCGTTCCAGGATAAAAAAAAGAACCGAAAGTGTGGGAGAAGTGGTGGAGGACCCTGCTCGATGGCCTTGGGCGGCCAATTAAGTTTGACGCGACTCGATCAACCTTTTCGGTGCGACGACAATGTAGCGTGCTTCGTTAGCAAACCGAGTTGATTCGAGTAAACTTAATTTGCCGTTAGGGGGAAATGCAGAGGCAGTCGGTGAGGGATCTTTTCGTTAATCGTTCGGCAAAATATGGTAGATGAATACTATAGAACGGTTGAACGACGCCTGATTCCCAAGATGTAACGGAGTTAACTGCATAAAGGAAGTGAAGATTGCGAAAAGGATTGCGTACTCGACGATGTGGTAAGGTTCGTTTCATAAGTATTCTTACGAAAGGGCATTTGATACTTTGTCAGGATCGCTGGGTAAACGATCGAGAATGAAATGCAATAAAGAATGGATAAGTGCATGAAAAGCGAGACCCAAATATTGCAGTTATCCAGTCGAGGTTTCTATGTCTATGGAAGAAACTTGTTTAAATTAAATGGTAGGTTTGATGTTTCCAAAAGTATATTTGTATAAATATGTTGATGTATATATAAATATCTATGAACGCGCATATATATATATATTTACAACGAGACATTCATTTGATAATATCAAAACTATTATTCTATTTAGTCAAACTTCTTCGATAGACATAGAGGGTACGTACATTTATGGAATCGACTGTAAGTGCGAGCAGAAATGAAACTGTACTCGCATTTGTGTACGTATGCGTCGATTAGGTTGCTCGCAGGGTGTTGAAAGAGAATGTTTGTATCGGGGATGGTCAGGTGGCTCGACGGTTTCGAGGAGCAAAACGGTTTCCAATTACTCGTTTCGCGGGATTCTTAATATGAAAGGATGAAAGATGCATCTGGCATTGATTTCGTCTCCTTTTTGCGTAGAAGGGTAGCGCACCCAATTAACTTACGGTTGCCTGCAGCATCTCGCGATAGTTCGCGTCGATGGAAATTAATAAACAGCTCGTTGATTTCTTCGATTGGTTTACCGCGATGGAGAAATTTGATTTAAGGGTTAATTAAGCAAACATGGCTCGAAGATAAATATCGTAACAGAATCCTGTCTGCAGACGATGGAATTTATCTTCCATCGAAGGAATGGCGTCGAACTGGAATTAATTTCTGCCGTTTTGCAAGTGCAACTGCATTTGAGACTGATTTTATGCATTTCTGGACTCGAATCAAGTCTCTTCCTAGTTAAGATCAGTTTCCCTGACCGACCGGCTCCCGATCGGATGCCACGTTGAATTTCCAAACTGCTAATCGCCAGAGCGAGACGAGGTCGAAAGGAAACTTCGACTTCGAGTTTCTTTACACCCGGCGTGAAGAATATCGAGCGGGTTCCTCTTCTGGTTTCTTAAGCGACGACACTCGCGAAATTCTCTGATCTTCTCAGGAGATTTCACAGTCGTGAGAAGAATCTTCTCTTGGGACCGGGTTTTCATTAAGTAGCAATTCATTAGGTGAATCGGAGCTTGCTTTTACAGGAGGATAAGTGTTGGAATCGACGCTCCAGGGACTCTCTTATAACGGAGGTTGAATACTCGAGCGTAGAGATCGAGAAGCTTGCGAAATTCTTAATCGAGGAGTTATTTTCTTTTTTTTAAGGAACCACTCCCATTGCCACGAGTCAGCGTGACCCGTCGCGGTAACGTAATTTAACGTGTAAATATTCATGCATCCTGAAGGCAAACTTCATTTCCTGGGCGCAGTTGTCGCTTGTCACGCGTCGAAAACAACGCGACGAGTTTCACGCACGGTCGGGATTTAGTAGACGAGTTCGCTGGAAGAATGGGATTAGGAATGAAATTTCGGGTCTCGGTGTGACGACTGACGACAGTGGCTGTCGACAACCGGAAACGGGGGAAAACCAAAAAAAAGAAAAAAAGAAAAAACTGTAAGTACTATTTTAACGTATTTCGTCGGCACGCAACGAAATTGCAAAGTTCGACGAAGAGACACATGCTGGAAAAGGCGCGTACCTCGACGAGCGACGAGCTTCGAGGACTTTTAGTTAGAGCCAGATTTTGGGGTGCTGTTTGGCCGCCAGTTAATGCTTTTCACTTCCTTCGTTTGGTCGTTTCTTTTATCGTAACAATTTCACTGAAAATGAATTATTTATCGGCTGTCGATGGACGATATATAAAGTACTAGAACTAGTAATTTGATTGATTCGTGCAAAGAAATCGATGAGCTTTAGCGTTAAAAGAAAAAAAAAAGAAGCAGAACAGTGGCAGCGAATCAGCGCTCGGAATCCTCGAGTACGCGTTGACTTTGTAAATACGTTGTCAACCATAAACGTAGGATGAGGGCAAACAGTGCTACCTAGGTGTAATTAGAGAACAACAAAGCTGTATTATCTGTAACGCAATACTTATTAACAATGAGATTGTTAACGAGAGAAGAGAGCCGGGCTGCGAAACGAAGACATTCATGAACCGAGTCGCAATTGTTGCCAGATTACCCCTTCGGCTATGAGATCGCTTTTATAGTCACTTGGGTGAACGTTTGCCAAAGAAGGTTCTCAATTTTCATGCGTGGGCGGAGCAACCTAACGCCGAAGTAACTTTTAATAGACTAATCTTTGCGGACAAAACTTTCAGACAATTTTTTATCCTGTATTTTATTATTCTACTTTCAGCTTAGCCCCAATCATCCCTAATCCTGATGTACACGTCGGTAAAACTGTACGACACTCTCTTCCTACGATCTCCTAGCAGCTACACTCATTCCTTATTCTATTAATCCCATAGCAATTTTCTCGGGAACATCATTTCTATATCTAATCGAGCCCAGAAACATTGTCCATCTGAGCTCCAGCGTTAGGTGCCTCATCCTAGGCGCGAGATAAGAAAACAAGACAGCGATTCGCTGCCGTGGAACATTTAACCCTTTGCACTCGCGAGGTGACTCTCGATCACCGGTAGGTTTGACGGAAAATCGAACAACAGTAATGTTTGATTTGGGTTTAATTTCTTTGGAACTCGAAGTGTCGATAAAATGATTCTCGGCGAGGTAAAGGTGACCCGATTAAGCTTAACAGTCGTGGTAATAGAATACTAAAACGCCTCATACACGATACGATCTGTCGTATGACTTGTTGTGCGACTTGTCGGCAGAAGCGTATCGGTGAGACAATAGTACTTACATAGTCTCACTGATATCTCGGTTAAGGCAATGCAACTCTCATTCAAACGGTCGAAAGAACTCGTCGAAGCGATGTGTCGTACGACAAGTTATACGACAAGTCGTACGATAGATCTTGTCTTGTATGGGACGTTTACGACGGCGTCGTACGAAAAAAAACACGCCACAGACAATGCAACTCTCCTTCAAACGGACGAAGGGACTCGTCAAAGCCATTTGTCGTACTACTTGTCGTACGACAGATCGTATGGTGTATGGGTGCTCTAAGAAACCATGTCGAGTCGCTGGTAGATACCAGAAAGAAAGTCCCCGAGTACAAAGGGTTAACCGTGTAATCGGGAGGTGGTAGAAACACTTGGACGTGGTGTTGGTCGAACCTGCGACATTTTGTTCACAGTGGACGACAAAGCTTTCCCTTCGTCGTCCACGCTTCGGCTCAGCCCGCGCGTCTCATCTCAGGCGGTAGAGACTCGACTTTTTCTAGAGGACTTGCGAACGCTTTACTTTCATTCGTACGGCCTATTGTACGCGTCTAGACTGTATAAATGTAACATAGCAATAATTATTCGAGGACTGTACATACATTGACGACGAACAACGGTATGCGAGCGAGAGTGTGTATGTGGACGTGTGCGACCGTCGTTTTTGTAAGTGACCGATATCGATCGTGTAGCGTGCGTGTTCCGTGTTGCTTAAAAGTGTACACAAGACCCCCTCCACCTCAAGTGACGTAATTATTGTCATTTAGCCCAGCAGATTTCACGTAGAATTCCCAGATGTAGAAATTGTTTGGATGGAGACAGCTGGACTGTTCGAAAGTCAGTGACTGCTAGTTCGAGCGAGAATTAACCCTGCTCGAGAACTTTTTTAATTAATTAACCACGCATAGCAACGTTTACGGATATAGACAAATGAACGAGGCCTGATACACAGTTTTGCATTTTACTCCGACAGCGTGACATTGCGAGAACGGAATTAGGAAATTATCATTAAGTGAGAATATTGTAAATAAATATCGAAGAAATAGCGTAGTTTTCTTTCCTTGTTCCATATTTTTATACTTTTCATCGAAAGCTTGATTCGTTATTCTTTCACTTTCTTTGCACGTAAGAAAAAAATAAACGATCAAATTAATTCGAATTTCTTATCTATGAATTTCTTATCTAGGAACGCAACTTTATCTGCCATTTTCCATTTCAATTATTTTCAAGCTCTACTTCAAACTTTCTTGATTTAAAGTATCTCTAGTGATAATATAAAACGATGTGCCAAAATTATTTCTATTTTCCGCGTGCTTGTAGATAAATCGACCGTTTAAAAATATTCTTCGTATCGATTTATAGGAAGAATTTTTATCGCGTCCAGCTTCGGTGAAAAAGTTCTCGCAGTTCCAAGCTGAAATCCGGATATTGTATCGGGTGTTAGCTTCGAACCCTCTTATTTTTACAGCAGCGTAGCGTTTAAAGGCCGGTCCGTCGACTTAAACGAATAAAACAAAGAGGTATTCCGCAGGCTTTCATTCGATCGAACGCTGTCACTGACCTAGCTGAACGTCATCGACTGCCACGATTCGCTCGAATTTCCGATTAATTCTATCCGTTACCTTCGTATCGTCCCCCTATAATAACAATCAGCCAGGGCATATCAATAGCGGATTAAACGTCGATATCGAAACGGTATGCCGTGATATTTAAAGGGGTGCTATATTTGAAGAAATTTAACGGTGTCGATAGCATCGTTCTAGCTGACAGTCTGCTCGTTGCATCCTCCCGTGAGAACAGATTGGACAAATACGAACCTAATTCCCAGTCGGCTCTGGCCAAGCGAACCGATTTCCCTTGAAATATCAACGGCGCGCGGACAAGTAGAACGGAATAAAAATTGTCAGGAGATCGAAATTACCTCGAAGTTCCATTCGGTGAAACGGGCACGCGACGCGAAATGTTTCGGAAGGAGAAGACACGACCGAATCGAGCGCAGTGCTACGTTTACGAACGGAAAACCCCGGTCGTTGGCGGTAATTAATCCCCGATAATTGCGAAATTCGAGTCGACTCGAGTTACGAAAGCGATGATTTGATTTTTCGAAACGCAAAGTGTTCCTTTTCGACGCATCGACGCGAGTTCGATTGCCACTTATTTTTCTATGTACACGCGGATCAATTCGCCGACGCGTTTAGGTATTTTCTATTGGGCTTCCGTTCTAATATCACGGTTTAGATCGTCGTCGTTAGGACTCCTCTGACTCTGTGTAATTATACCAAAGAGTACGCGTTACATTGCAACTCGTAGCTTCGATGTAAACCGTCGACGGAAGAGTGCATCGTCATTCGGCGAAGTGGGACAGTAAACTCTGCGGGATCGTTCACTACGGATTACTTTTTTTTTTTTTACCCTACAGTGTGCGAATATCGTCGTATAACATTGTAAGTTGTTACTTAATTGTATCGGACTTCATCCAAAGACACTATTTTCGCAGGTGAACCATTTCTACAGGCTGTTCACGCTTAAAATGTTACAGACGCATACTTTGATAACTATTGATGATAGGAAACAATGTTTATATGTGAATTGCAGGATACAATGAAGTCTATACAGAGTGTCCCAAAAATGTTGGAGGTCCTTGAAAGGGGTGGTTCGGGAGGTGATTTGAAACAACTTTTTTCCTTAGCGAAAAATTAACAGAAAACCCCGACCAATCTTTGAATTTTAAAAGCCAAAAAATGAATATTTTAATTTTGCCAATATTATTATCGACTTGCACTGAAATCGATGCGAGAAATTCAGTAAAAATAGTTCAAAATTCTAGGAAAATTATTGTTCAAGTTATCGCCAAAAAACCTACAAAATTTTAAGTAAACTACCTCAGACAAATTTTTTGAAGCAGAAATAACATCATATTCAGATTCAGCACGCAAAAAAACCTATAGATACCGAATTTCGTGATGATTGGATAAAATTGTTATATTCCCTATAACCCTGGGGAAATTGACCAAAATCGTGACCCAAGATTGGCTAGC